CATTATAAATTAGCAGCGCTGATGTCGGAATGAGACTTTTATGTATGCAGGTGGAAACGTTCCTTAGTATTTTTCATAAGTTGATTAATTCCTTTTGCTCAGTCGGCCAAGCCTACTGATTACTTGTGGATTGTACTCACCCCTACTTCTGTATCATTTTTTATGTAGATTCTAGTCAGGGTACTCCCTGCGGTGGCTGATCGTGTCTAGCTTTGGAGATCTTTTCGAAGTGATGGTGAATTCTTGTTCCTGGATCACCATTAGTTCCACTTTTATTTTATTTTTAGTCTTGGTTTGTTTTGATGTATTTCATACTCTAAAGTTGTATTAGATGTTCTTTATACTTACGCTACCAGGTTTTGGGATATTCTTTGTTATTTTCTATCGTTTGTAGCATGACTTCCCTTTGGGAGTCTCGTATGTGTGTTATTTTCGACTTACACATCATTTTGGGGGTTTACGAGGTGTGTGCTATCATGACCTCGACTTTTGATTTGTGACAATGGAGGTCGAAGATTAGAATGCGCAGGAGGTTAGTAAAAAGACTGGTGTATTTCTTTTGTATTCTCATAGTAATAGTATTATTCTTTATGTTTTCCCTTACTTTAAGATTTTTATTACTACCTGTTACTTTTTAAAGCTTGTTATTTTTTACTTAAATAATACTATATTTTATTTGATTAATTACACTTTTAAATGTTACTTTTTTTTAAATTACCATTTATGACATAAGTTTAGGCTTAATTGTGTTTAGTGTCCTTTTCTAGGTAAAGAAGAAAAATGCTACTTCGTCTCTCCCAAAAACCCTTACTAGAGACTTTTGAAATGACACTTTCTCCTTACCACACGCTTTCGAAATGACACTTTATCCTTACCAGAAGCTTTCGAAACGGTACTTTCTCCGTTGGGGGTACATTTTGCCATTCTTCTTCTTGTTTTATGCCGCTCTTCCACCAGGGGCGGACCTAGAGTCTTGCCGAGGGGTTCACCCGAACCCCCTCGGCAAAAAATTATGTTGTATATTTAAGGTATTTTTATGTTTATATATTGATTTTGAACCTCATGAATATAAGATTAGAGGTTGGTTTAGTGATTGTGGGGTTCAACCTCAAATCTTAAGCACTGCTCTTTTTTTTTTGAACCCCCTTAATGAAAATCCTGGATCCGCCACTGTCTTCCATTGTTGATTTCTCTGTTTTTGTGTTTTTTTATTGAAGTAATTTCTATTTTTCTTCCAGTTTTTGTTTTGTTTTGGTGTTGTCTGAGTTGTCTCTGAGTCATCTTCTTCTATTTAAGTTAATTTTTTCATTTTTTTCAAAATATTTTGCATTTATGATAGTTTGTCTATTGAAAAATTTGGTGTTGCTTTTTTGTTTTCTTTTAGGAATTCTCTGCGATGAACGCCCAAATACCCTCAAGAGTTAACACCTCAAATTTTTAGTGACGTGGCAAGCACGTCGGACTAATCCTTCCACCTAAGCGTTGTCAACTAGGATTTGCTACAAAAGAACTAAATCTTTAGCGGCGACAGCGGTCGCCACAAAAGCCTAGAATATCGTCACTAAAGGGTTTTTAACATTAAATTTCGATTTTGTGTTTTTTTTTCTTCATTGTTTGTAAAAAAACCAAAAATAATATCGATTAAGGAGGAGTTTGAAGAAACTATATATTTTGTTTTTATGTCATATGTAAATGTATAAAATGTACAATGATGCATTATGTAGTAGGAGATTTGAATCGAGAAGTAATTTTGATGATTTTCATAATAATATTGGATGTTTTTAATATTGATAGTGCAAGTTAATTGTTTTGGAAAATTAGGTTGCAACCGAAAATTAATTATCATATATATTTTTTTGAAAAAATAGATTTTACTAGCGAATGACTTTTGTTGCGTTAGTCGCCTCTAAAAATCACTCATAACCTTAGTGGCAATTTTTTGGGATGATGTGGCGACTTTGTCGCCGCTAAAGGTCAAGTTCTTTTGCGGTGAATCCTAGTTGGCAACGCTTAGGTGGAGGGATTAGTTAACTCTTGAGGGTATTTGTGGTCTCTTGGAATAATGGCGGGGGTATTTTTTTTATCCCAAAATGTAATGGAGATTATAAGTGGTCTATTTCACATATTTTGACAGTTTTCCCAATAGAGACTTAAATTGAAGTTGGTTGTCTGAATAAATAGAAAACTCTATCTTTAAAGAGTAAAATAGAATGTAGGGTTGGAGATGCCCGAAACCGTCAAAATTCCATTCTAAGCTAATCTTCCTCAAATTTTGACTTCGATCAAACTTTACAACTTCCCTATCTTCCAAAATGAAACTCATCCAAAACCCCTCTTCCCACTTCGGGAATCACATCACCCATCCCTGCAAATCCAAAATACTATATTGAAGCTACGAGAAGGATCAAAACAATAAAAAATAACTGAAAACACAAAATAACCATAAGGAGCGTTACGGCCGCGTTAGCAAAAAAAAAAATCGTTCAAAAAAAGCAATAAAATTGGTGAAGCTTTACGATTGTCCGGTAAAATGTTTGAGGCTGTCTTAAGTAATTGTTCATCAAGTCAATTTTTATTTTTTTTGGCATTTGTGTTAGCTCATGATCTAATTGATCAAAAGACATTTTAGCACATGTTCTTCTATGATAACGAGCGGAGAGCAGAGAGCAGGGTACATGTTATAATTTGTTCAAAAGACATAATTATAAGTACATACTAATAATTATGATTATATTCAGATCTCTCTATAACAACATTTACATTATAATAGTTAAGTATTTTTGTAAACAGACTTTTGTGTTATGTTATATTATATTATATATCATGGCGGAGTCAGAATTTTTATTAAGGGTATCAAAGAATAATAGTGTGTGGCTGTCAAGTGTCCAGGAATAATAGTGTGACTGTCAAAATAAAATAAAAAGTATATATATTGTGATGTTTGGGGTTTGAATCCGAAATTCCTTCATTCAAATGGACACCCATTACCACTGTGTCAAAGGCATAGCTTCTGTCAAAGATGTCCAACTTTAAATATATATTCTTTAAATGTAGAATTTGACATATATATATACAATGCAATTTTCCGACGAAGGGTGTCCAATTGTGGCTGTGGTTACGCAATTGATTGTATACGTTCTTTATAATAATATTTTGATATAGCAATAAGAAAATTTGAACAAACGAGATTGTTATGGAGAAGTTCGACTTTACTACATTCTTTTTAGTAGGGTTGGTACATTTGTACGTAGTATATACCAACAAGAAGTGTGAGTGCAAGGTCAATTTTTAGTGACCCAGAGGAAGCTTCTGTGCAATTTCCTTCTTATAATTTATCATGCCTTACAATTTCCTAGAAAATTCCATAGCTCACTTTATTTGGGACATTAATCAACGTCATCTCATTTTTTCCTATTACTTTTAGCGTATCAACCAAGCATTCTACTTACCAACGGATCGTAATTTAAGACTTCAAAAAGTAGAGTCGGATTCATAATTTAAAGTTTATTCACTTGTACGTATAATAACATTAAGTTAATATAATATCAAATTCACAGTTAAATATTTATAGAAATTTAATAGATATTTTAGCACATATAAAACTTAAATGTATGGTCTTGTACATACTGTTTGTCACACCACGGGAGTTGTTATCTGAACCGCAAAGAGATGGATGTCGAAGGCAAGACTACTAAATTTTTGTGAACCCCCATATATCCTCTATTGCTCAAGGGGCTGTTTTTTCATGTATAAATATACTGCAAGAATTATATATACATAGTGAATATTGTTATGTGGTGGATACATATGATGAAGTTTTATGCACAAATTATTTGCTTCAAGAATTTTTATTTTTGTTACTCTTATCCATATATTTTTAATACGCGTTTTGTTACTCGAGATTTCATCTTCACAAAAAAAAAACACATTTTTATATAATTTATGTAGGGATTAATAGCAATAGGTAGTTTGTTTTTCGTATAAAGTACAAAAATCTCATATATTTGGGGGCTAATTAATTACATCTTATCCTGGAAGCTTTTTCAATTACAAAAATTTCGGATTTTTCATTGCTCTCGGATACGTTCATTGGTTGTCCGATACATTGCAAATGATACATTACTTAAGTTTATGTTGCGTCGGATACATTCCTTTGCTATCAGATACATTGTCTCTACTTTGTTGTTGCGTCGGATACATCCCTTTGATGTCAAATACATTGGTCTTTACTGATTCGGTTGCGTTGAATACATTCCTCTGTTGTCGCATACATTGGTCTCTTTAATGTTGTTGCATCGGATACATCCCTTTGATGTCAAATACATTGAACCTTACTGATTCTGTTGCGTGGAATACATTCCTCTGTTGTCGGATACATTGGTCTCTATAATGTTGTTGTGTCGGATACATCCTCTGTTGTCAGATACATAATTATGAACATGATTCATAATGAGAGGGATGTATCTGAAAGGGGATAAGAATGTATCTGAGAGGAGATTTTTGTAATTTTTTAAAATAATAGAAAATTTTAAAGATTATAATATTTTAAGTCATGTATTTATGTATTTTTCTAATAAAACCAACCAAACATTGTAGTATACTCCCTCTGTCCCAATTGATGTGACTTACTTTCCTTTTTAGTCAATTCAAAAAAGAATGACACATTCTATATCAAGTAACAATTTAGCTATAAAATGTCTATTTTAGCCTTAATGAAATGATTTACAGCCACACAAATTTCTATCATTCATTTTGGACCACAAGTTTTAAAAGTCTTCCTTTCTTTCTTAAACTCCGTGCCGAGTCAAAGTACCTCACCATTTTAACTTATCTGGAATTTTTATATAATAAAACAAACGACCATTTACATATTTTGAAAGTACATTTGGAATTAGTTGGAACTTTCATAGTATATTACATAAGTGACTTTTCAACTTTTAGTGGTGTAGTTCAAATCTCAATACAGCTAAGCACTTTTTGGTCTATATAAATTGTCACAACTAGGAAGCAACAAACCAATTACTTCTACTTCACTTTGGGTTGAGAGTCTACATATTCATGGAATCAATTAGACTATCAAAATCTTTTAGTTTCTCTTCACATTATAAAAACCTTAGGGTAATTTTACCTAGGCTTAGATCAAAGTCTTCAAATTCAAGCCAAAGTTCTCCAAGAACTCCAAAATCATCAAAAAACATATCACGACGAAATTCATCTAGAGAAGATGAGTTTAGAGAAGTATTTCGTCATTTTGACACCGATAACGATGGTAATTTTTAATGTTGTTGCAATATATATTATTTAAATTTAATTTTTGAATTTTGTTCTATTGTTACATTAATTTTGTTAATTTTGTTTTGTTCTATTGTTACATTAATTTTCTAATAGGTAAAATATCGGCTTTCGAGCTAAGAGCGTATTTTGGATCCATAGGAGAACACATGTCACATGAAGATGCTCAAGAAATCGTAGATGAACTCGATACGGATGGTGATAATTTCATAAATTTTGAAGATTTTAAGAAGTTGTTGATGCAAAAAGAAGGAAGTAGTGAAGAGGATGAATCCATAAAGTCAGCATTTGAGATGTATGAACTTGAAAAAGGTTGTGGTCGGATTACACCTAAAAGTTTACAGAGAGTTTTAAGTCGTTTAGGGGATTCAAAATCTTACGACGAATGTGTTACTATGATCCAAGTATATGACATTGATGGTAACGGGGAACTTGATTATCATGAATTTCGCCAAATGATGACGACTTAATTAAAAAAAAAATGAAAGTAAAACAAATAAATCAATAAAAATATAAAATAAATAAGACCATGATATTGAGTGGCTGAGACAACAAAAAGTAATGAAAATCTCAGGACTCGGCATGTCTATAATTAATTGTTCTTCTTATGATTGTAGTTTTGCAACATATTTTCTTTTAAATCCTTCAAAATATTATTTTTGGAACATCTATGGATGATAAATTAGAAGATTTTTTTTGTGCTTCTTGTTCTTGTGTGATGTACCAACAGAAGTTTCTCTAGCGATAGAACAAGTTATTCAACGACAAGATTTAATTTATTGGGTAAATTTCATAAATAACTAAGAGTTGAAATATACTAAGCCTCCTTAGGTGTAGTTTACCTAACTACGTGTAATGTAACTAAAGTTTTAGTAGGTATGTCTACTTTGTTTGTATAGCTCACTGAAAATTTAATTTCTTATACAAATTGGACTCTTGACTTAATTAATGAGGCGGTAATATCGGTTGTTAAAATTGAAAACAATCCCAAAAGTCACATTATATTATAGAGTTTCTTATCAAATATGACTTCAGTCAACTAAAGAAAAAAGAACTTTCTAAATAAACATGTCACTAAATCTTGTTAGAATAGAAATAAGAAAAAGAACCGTATATAAAATCCTACTTGAAAAAACAGTAGTATATAGAATCCTACATCGAAAAGGATTAGTATTAGGAGTCCCATTTGGAAAAGGATTAGTATATGTAACCCAACCTGAAAAAGGATACTAGAGTGTCTATAAATAGGAATTATGTAGAGACACAATACAATTCGATAGTAATAATATTTTCCCTTTTTACTAAATTAAAACAAGATGAGGCAAAACGATTCAGTTGAAGAGTTTGTTGATGTTGCAATTGAAGCAGCTAAGAAAGCTGGAGAGATAATTCGTCATGGATTCTACAAGAGTAAGCATGTTGAGCACAAAGGAGTTGTTGATTTAGTAACAGAGACTGATAAGGCATGTGAAGATTTAATTTTTAATCATCTAAAGCAATGTTTTCCCAGTCATAAGTTTATTGGTGAAGAAACAACTGCTGCTGCTTCTGGAGATTTTGAGCTGACTGATGAACCAACTTGGATAGTTGATCCACTTGACGGAACCACCAACTTTGTGCACGGGTTTCCTTTTGTTTGCGTATCTATCGGTCTCACAATTGAAAAGAAACCAGTAGTTGGTGTTGTTTACAACCCAATTATTGATGAGATTTTCACTGCAATCGATGGGAGAGGTGCTTTTCTTAACGGGAAGCCTATCAGAGTATCTTCAGAGTCTCAACTTGTAAAGGCTCTTGTTGCTACAGAGGTTGGAACAAACAGGGATAAGGCAATTGTAGATGCTACTACAGGGAGAATCAATAGATTGCTTTTCAAGGTTAGGTCCCTCAGGATGTCTGGTTCTTGTGCATTAAATCTATGTGGAGTGGCGTGTGGAAGGCTTGATCTCTTCTATGAAATTGAATTTGGTGGTCCTTGGGATGTCGCAGCTGGTGCTCTCATAGTCACAGAAGCTGGAGGACTCGTGCTTGATCCATCTGGTTCCGAATTTGACCTAACAGCTCGACGGGTAGCTGCTACAAACGCTCATCTCAAGGACGCTTTTATCAACGCCTTGAATGAATCAGAATGAGAATCATACCTTCATAGGAATAGGAACAAGAATGCAATAATTATTTATTATGTGAATATTGTTATGCATAGCATAGATTATTTACTTTAAGAATCTTTTTGTTTTTAGTTACTCTTATCCATATATATTTAATACAAACATAGTAGGAGTCCTTAACAAGCTAGATTAATCATTCTAGTTCAAACTTAATTCTTGTAGGTTGTAGCCTTATCATATGTTGATTGTTTTGTATTAAGAGGCGATTCAGAATTTCTATAACATGAGTGTGTTACGGGAAAAAATAAATAAGGAAAAATGTATTCGATAGAAATTGATCCCCGGACCTCCCGGTAAAAAAGTTATGATTCTATATATTGTTCTTTTTCCTGTTCCTATTCCTATTCTAACACTATTTAAGTATTGTGTAATTGAAGCTTCAAAAGCTATCTCCACCAATCTGGCACTTTAAGCCTCCTGTTTCTATGTACAGCAAGTTTTACAGCAGGAAGCTTGTGCTTCACTTGCCTCCATAGCATGCTTACAGCATCGCCGTTCTTCGGAGGGTACTGATACTCAAAATGATGTGTAATGTTCTTAAGATATCTCCACATTTCAAGCCATTTCGTTTTAGAAATGCTCTTGAGCTGATCAAGTATGTAGCCTTCTTTCTTTGCCTCCTCGCGTGAGAAGAAGATAGAGAACTTGTTGTAGTCTATTTCATCCTCATAAGGTAGCTCAATTTTGTCACTCACAATTACAGGGACACAATGACTAACTATAGCATCAAAAAGGCGGCAAGATGATGGGGTATCCCCTGCTGGATCTAGACAGAACTTTGACGAACGCATCCCCTTGGTAGACTGACATAAAAGAATAAACTATCACAGTAAGGAAAAGACAACACAATAGGAGAAGGAAAAGGGGAGGTGAATTTCAAAGTTGACTGTATTTTTCTTTAAGTAAATAAAACTAATTACAGGTTACGTGGACTATTCACAAAATCTCAACTGTTAAACTAAGGCAAAAATTGACAAAAAAGAAGAAAAATGAAGGTCTATAATTAAGCCATTATTCCACAGAGGGATCTGATAGATGTTATACATTTAAGAGGTACAACAAAATTACTTACTGCATTTACACCTCCCTCTGTGACTCCATTTGCTTCAAAAACAACATCCTTTTGACCACTTAATATCTTTTCCAGCTGCTTACGGTCTTTCCCTTCCTGCAATACGAATAAGATTTAGAAATTATTTTTGTCATAAAATCTATGTAACTGATTTATTCAGAAATTGTATAAACATACAGCTTTTCTCTTTGTCTTCCCCCGGAAGAAAAGGAGTGTTGTGCGAGAATCATATGGGTCTGAGAAGTTGTCAGCTTCAAAAGTTTCAACCACATGTCCATATGGGGCCACAACATCTTTCCTCAAATTAGACACAGATGGAGAAGGCCGACCAAAATCTGCTACGACGAAGATAGCAGCATTTACCTTATCCCGGTAATGTTTGAAAGCATTTGGATGTTGCATTGGTATCACATGATCTCGACCAGCAGACCTCTTCCAATATTTAGATTTTTGTAAGAAGTCAACAATTTCAGCCTAGAAGAAGAAGCTAAGTCAATGCAGGTAAATAAAATGCAGAAAGGAAGATGGTTATTACCATCCACATAGCAATTCTCTGAAGGTGATGAGGAAATCGATCAAAGCTTGTACTGTTTATGCTACATTAAGAATTTATATTAGCACATCGGTTGCATTGACAAATACAAGAAAGGGCCTACCAGACTATCACCAATTTCCAGTTATAACACATGGTGAAGCAGCTAAAAATAGCATAGAATAGTAAAGCAGCTAGCACATAGGACTTGAAGAAATCAAAACAAACAAAGAACGAGCCTGAATATATAACAGTATATACTATATACAACACTTCTAGGTACTGTAGAGTGTAGACTTCTCTTCACAGTAATAAATATATTCTAAAGTCTAAACCTACACAATTATGGAAGAGATGTAAGTCCAGACCTAAATGGCTACACAACTGCTGCTGTCTTCGAACTTCATCAAACTTCTACCTGGAGTTAGACTCTCAAAGAATCACATCATTTTCATACCCCTTAAAGCTTATTCAAACTTCTTGCATTGTTTATGCTACATTAAGAATTTAAATTAGAAACCCAAACGAATGTTACTTTGTTCTTTCTTGGACTAGTGCATGGTTCAGTCCCCTTCCCAAAATTTCACAACTTAAGGTTATATTTCTTTTATTGCTTTCGTCTTGTAATAACGATGTAAAGAGATCTTTGCCTAGAATCCATATACAGCAGAGTATTCTATATACTAACACATATACATAGACAACACAAGAGCATTGTTTTAGCAATAATATTCTCCAAGGTGATTACCTTTTCATACATAAATGGCTGAAATTTTATAAGAAAGGGTAGGATGCCTTTGTTGTATACTAACAATACAACCTAAATAATTGTACAGAAATCTTCTTACTGGCGAAAAAACTGTTCGCTGTGTTCATCACTATCTATGATAAAGCAGCAACTTCTCTACCCACTCTCTAATGTGTAACATTTCTATCAACGACATTTAGCAATACATCACCACTAGATAAATTAGTAATTTAACGGCTCTTGACAACAGCTTTGAGTATTCAACTCCTCCACGCCTGCCAGTAGAAGTCTTTCTGCATTAAGTCAATCTACACAAAGTGAATCAGTCCCTAAGGAACCCCCGAAACAGTGGAAGTCAAACTGCTATTTACCTCATTGGTTAATTGAAAGGAAGCTCATTGAAGTCACTCTAATATTCCCTCCTTCCTAAATAAACTTGACCTACTTCTCTTAATTGAAAGGTTTTCCCTAAGTATTCAAACTAATACTGTTAAATAGTATTACTTAAGCTTTGAATTGAAACAATTTTATCTAACCACTAAACCTTTTCTGTTTTTCCTTCTGTGAGGACTCGAACAATACTATTAAAACTACTTTATATCCTGTTAGCAGTGATCTGTTACTCTTTGAACCTTTTACATTTTAAACCATTCTTTAATCACTTCTCATAATTCTAATAGGTCATTATTATGGGTCATGAATTCAAGATTAGCATAAAATGCCTAGAAGATGATTCTCTGACCAGTCACAAGCATCTAGTTTATGAATCAAACATATGTATTACTAAGACCTGCATAGCTCTAACCAGCTACCAAATTTTCAGCACTAATTCCTTTCCCTTTTCTTCCATCAAAACAGAACAATAAAGATACCAGAAAAGTGAGATCACCTGCAGTTGATCATCAAACTTCGACTCTGTCTCATTCCCCTGATTATGATAAGTATCATAGCTCAACGAAGAAAAAAAAGGTACAAAGAACACATCAGCTGAATCCGGATTCAAAACCCTAACCGCCTCTTGCTGCTTCGTCCCATTTTCAGGATACAACAACGAAGCCAGCATCCAATACTCCACGGTGTGTTGTCTCCTTAACCCAGTATAATGCGGAAACTCCGGCAGAGTCTCGATCGTCACTGGAGGACCATCGTAATGCGGGCCTTTCAACATTCCAACATTATACTTC